CACTGTTCATGGTTTATTAAACAAACCAGATATGTTAGTAAAATGTGCGATTGTATTTGACGTTCATACGACAGAGCCTTGCATCACAAGTCACAGTACTGAAGATGTAGTTAGTAACTTGACGAACACCGTTCGATGACTAGATAACCGATAGTGGAAAAAATCAACTCCTTATCTCCTTCATTCGCCTCGGTGGTAGAGGCACATGCCGGAGGTGCACAGCCACCAACGAAAAAAAAAAAATAGGAGTGGTACTCGCAAGAAAGACTGAACGGATGAGCGCCAAAAATAAGACGCACATACTGGAACAGGCAGTTTGCATTAACGTAAAATATGCAGCTTAGAATTGAAGGGCCTAACGTAGTTCGACAGGTCAAGTGGATTCATCTTGGTATTATCACACTTTCATCGGACCTCCACATCAATTTCTTGTGCGGGCTTAATTTTGCTATTTCTTGCCTGGCTTTTGCATTTGAAAGTTAGTAGTAGTAGTTAAAGAGAAAATAATATAAAGAAATAAAGAAAAAGAAAAAAATTTTAGCAGATGTTTAGTAAGTTAACTTCATTTTCATTCCAATGAAATTTACAGCTACAGATTCTTCAGTACTTGGTTTCGCAGTAAAATTTGATTTCAGGTGGGTGTTACTACGGGTCGTAGGCGACGATGCGGTTGGCTTGATTTGGTCCTTTTGAAGCGTGCACACGTGATCAACGGCTTCACCGAGTAAGCACTGCATATGTTGCTGTGAAATGCAGTTATTAACTGCACTACGACTTGCCTTACTTTTTTATTTCATAGTTGCAGTAGCACTTCCTTGCCCTGGTTACCACCGCCTTCCATTCCCTCATAGGACCTTTGAGGTCTGTACTGCCTTTTACTTTGTTGACAGTATTAAGCAAATTTGAACTTGCAATTTCCCGGGCGTCTTAAAATCTTTTTTTTTTTTAAAATGTTCTTGAAAATTCGATAAGGTAGCTGCTCTTCGCAGAGGAAGTGGCAACGTTCGAAACGAGATGGTTATATTCAAAACACAGACAAATACGTGTACATACACACATATACATGTACACATACACAAACATACATACATACATACATGTACACACACCAACACATGCATACATACACACATACAAACAGACAAACTCACATTCTCTCAAATACGCACACACGCAGAAACAACCCCATACACATCTTATATGCGCACATGCATGTATGCACACGCACACATATACCCACATGCACACACACACACACACACACACACACACACACACGTGAAAGACATCTGGAAACGGCGAAAGCCGCTAGAGTGATTCAGTTCCGGTTGAGCTGGCAGTTCCTTCGGAAGGCGAACGAATGAACGTCAGCATCACCGACAGGCTTGTTACCAAGCGTTATAGCATTGGATAAGGATGCTATGAACTGACCGAAGTAGTAATTATACGGCTGTCGATAGTGGAGTGGGGTCACTGGTTTCTTCAGCAGTTACGTAAAAATGTCTTTCACATTTTGCTTTAAGCTGATAGGATTTTCTTTTTTTTTTCCCAGTGAATAATCCACTTTTCAGCCTGGCATTGACCAAATTAGATGTGTTAGACACATTCGATGAAATCAAGGTTGCCATTTCTTATCAGTTGGATGGCGAAACAATAAAGTCTCCCCCGTGTAAGCATACATTTCTATTGTTAACTTTATTTGCCTGACGATCACCGTCTTCATTCGATCTACTGTAATATGCCCCCCGGGGTAATTTGGCCAGCCCTGCATGCTTTGTTTCCTGGGAAAAATTACCCACGGTGAAAGTTGCCCCAGACTGTTACAATAAATAGGGTCGAAAAAGCATGAGCTTATACATACAGCGGCAGCTACGTGCACATCAAAAAGATGGCTGGTACGAATGGTACAGC